GATCTTAGTATACGTAGAGTTGGAATAAGTTGGGATTTATTTTGCATTGGTAGGTTGCATGGAAGTTTGATTTTTATGTTGGATGGAATATCATTTGGCGAGGATGGAAGTTCTGAAAGTAATTCGTCCACTGATTCCTTGAGTTTGTCTTTGAGGATGGTGTAGTCAATGAAGGACTGTGGTTTATGGATGAAGTAGTTGATAAGATATGTAAGAAGGTTGGCTAATTCATAGAAAGGCTATTAAATTTGAAGTTATATATTATAATAATATAATATGATTATTAAATTCTATAATTTTATAAAAATTGAATTTTTATTGTTATATAAGTTAATAATATATTGTTAGCATAAAAAAGATAGTAAAGAAAATATAGAGAAAATATATAGAAAGTATAATTTGTATATCAGATATAAAGTGTATATAAGGTATAAAATGTATATCAGGTATAAAGTGTATATTGCAAATAAGTATATAAATAATAAGGGTATAGGCAAAAAGGAGAAGAAATCAATATAGGTACTGCACAACTTTCTCTTTACCCATCCTATTCTGTTGTTGGACATTTGCCCCATTACACAACCCCAACACACTATATTCGTGGGATTGCTACACCTGTTACAACCCCTTGTGATGCTAAATCTATTGGTAGATCTGTGTCATTATCTGACAGCTCGGACCAAATTCACATGCCTCTTTTGAGAAGAAGACCTGCCCTATTGTTACACGGCATGAGGCAAGCTCAAGCGACCGACTCGCTGGATTTTCACACCAACAGTTTTGGTGGTGACTATGAGATTCGAATACAATCACAACACTCGTTACCCCCCTCCCCCCTCCAATTCTTTTTAGCAAACACAATTATTATATATGCGATAGTTAGACATACATCACCGCTTACTTATTTCCACCCCCCCCTATACAATCATAATCATGACACTCATTACCCCCCAATTATTTATTTTTTTGGATGTACTTATATGTTAAAAGTCATAACCATTATTGATTATTTTATTAATTAAATTCTTCCTTTTAGGTACAAGTAAAAAAAAAAAAAAAATGAACACAAGCGAACGTACCAGCAATTGAACACCGCAGTACAAGAACACTTACCACATGAGTTGGTGATGAATAATGATCAATTCCAATGGTTAATGAGAGGTATATTCAAGTCCATGAATGATATTGCGAGTAAATCGAGTGGAATACAGGAAGATGATCCTGTAAGAGTGAGACCGTTCGCTGAAGAAAAGGACAATGACCCAGTCGAATGGCTGGAGGGGTTTGAACGAATGGCAGAGGTTAATGATTGAAAGGATAGGAAGAAGTTGAAAATAGCCCCGGGGTACATGCTTGAGTTGGCGGCCGATTGGTACAAAGAAAACAAAATGAAATTGCGGTACGGAAAGATAACAAAAAGCTGGCACAAAGTTTCTATCATGTGTTGGTGAAACATTTCGCCACATCGGAGAAACGACACAAATGCAAATAGAGTTAAATGGGTTAAGTCAGAAAAGTGACGAAAAGGTAGATAAGTATGCTACGAAGTTCAAGCGTTTATTGACAAGGGTAGACCCAAAGGGAACAATCCCAGGTGACTACGTAATAAGGATGTTCTTAAATGGATTAAAGGGCAATACTGCTACTTTCATAGCCATGACATCGCCTAAGGATTTGACAGAGGCAATTGCAGTGGCACGAAGGGTGAAAGCAGGAAACTATTATGAGCAACAGACCCGGGGAAGAACAAGGGATGTAACAAAACAACTGGAGAGCAATATAGAACGACTCGAGCAACAAATTAGAAAACTTACGACAAACTGAGAGAACCAATGGAGGGAGCCACGACGAAAATGGAGGGGCGGGGAAAGAAAGGGCATAGTTTGCTATCATTGTGGAAGAAAAGGGCACATAGCCCGATAGTGTATCGGAGAAGAGGTACGGAAGGAGTTTTCAAGGACCACGATTCCGAAAGTGCAATATTGCTACAAAGCGGGAGAAAACGAGAGAGAAGAGGAAAAAGAGAAGGAGGCGTACACATTAGGGGCTGCAGGGAAGAGGAGTCGGCCAAGACAACAAGAAGGAAAAGACGCGGACAAATCACGAAAGGCACCAAAAGTTATAAGGGCACAGGAACCAATGGTAATCATACCTCCCCTCAAAACAACCGGTGTCACCAAGAAACCCAGGTGGAAAAAAATGCCATCAACCATTGACGTGCTCGATCCGTACGACATCTCGGAGGACATCCTAACAATAAAAGCAAACGTGACATATGAACAGTTGTTGAAGTACACTGATTAGCGGCGCAATCTCTCCAAGATATTGAAACAAGCCAAGCCATCGAAAGAAGCGAATCAGGTGAGCTCTGCGGACACCTTTAAGACAACAGCAGCAAAATATTATGTGAGGATTGGGGATAAGACTGTGGTCGCCACCCTGGACACGGGGGCAGCAGTGAGTATAATAATAAAAAAACTACTGGATAAACTTCACTTAAAAGTGAACGAGAAATCCACTTCTGTTGTTGTCACCGTTAACAGGACTTGAGAAAGGACCTTGGGGAAGGCTAGGGAGAGATAAGACGTTATTACTGGGGACCGACTGGTTCCAAAAAGGGAAGGCCCTAATACACTTTGATGAACAAAAGATACTCCTAAAGTATCAAGGAAAAGAATTGGAAGTGCTCATTTCACACAATGGTCTCGAAAAGTTAGTGCGACCGGACGAGATAGAGGCGAGCGACTATGAGAGCGGAGATGCCTTCGACAAATGGGAGTATGAGAGTGAGGAGATGGAGAAAAAGGAAGGGTATTATACAGAGGAGCAATCCAAAGAAGAAGAAACGACCTGCGAAGAAATCCCAAGCCTTGCCATTTATCTGGCCATCCTGGAGCAAGTAACGATGTGGAAAGAAGAGGAGTCCACTATCGAAGAACTGAAAGTAGATCTGGACAACCTGTCGGAGGAAAAAAGGGTAGAAGTGGTAAAACTTTTCGAAGCAGAAGAGGAATTGTTTGTTAGGGGACTGGACGAACTTACTCAAACCGACATGATCCAACACGAGATTGACACTGGCAACGCTAAATCAATTAAGCAAACGCTATATAGAATAGCCCCTGATGAGCATGAATATGTGAAAGATGAGTTGGTGAAGATGAAGTGTCAAGGGCTAATTGCGAAGTTGAGGAGCCCATGGGCGTCACTAATTGTGATAGTACCCAAGAAGAACAGGAAGCGACGTTTATATATAGACTACAGGAAGTTAAATGCGATGACGAAGAAGGATGCCTACCCACTACCGAGAATCGACGACTTGATTGAGACCCTCGGATGAGCAAGATAGTTCTCGAATCTCGACCTCACTAGTGGATACTGGCAAGTACAGGTCCATGAAAGGAACCATGAAAAGACAACCTTCGTGACGAAATTTGGAACCTATGAGTTTCGCGTGATATTATTTGAACTGTGCAACGCCCTGGCAACGTTCCAAAGACTAATGAATGAGGTACTATATGACTATCTCGAAAAATTCGTGGCTGTATATCTGGATGACATCATAGTATACTCGCAAATGTTTTTAGAGTATATTAGACATCTAACCTGCATTTTTAGAGAGCTACGTCGAGCCTTGCTAAAGCTAAATGCAGAGAAGTGCAAATTCTTCTTACCAAATGTAGGTTTCTTAGGACATGTTGTGAGAAGAGATGGCATCCGGCCGGATGAAGATAAGATAGTGAAGGTAAGGGACTTCCCTGCCCCGGGGAATATAAAGCAGCTACGAAGCTTTATAGGCCTCGCCTCATATTACCGAAGGTTCATTCGAGGGTTCGTGACAATCGCGAAATCACTGCACCAGCTGCTCGAGAAGAAAGTGTAGTACGAGTGGACAAACAAACAACAAGTAGCATTTGAGCAGTTAAAGACCTACCTAATCACGGCTCCGATCCTACGATACCCAGACTTCGAAAGAACATTCTACTTACATACTGATGCGTCGAGGACAGGTATGGAAGCAGTATTAGCTCAGGTTGACAATGCGAGAAAGGAATATGTGATCGCGTATGCCAGTAGAAGCTTGTTGAAGGCTGAGAGAAATTATGCTGCAACAGAGCTGGAGTACTTGGTGGTGGTATGGGGGATTGAGTATTTTCACCATTATCTTGGCATGAAACCATTTATAGTGGTTACTGATCACTTGGCACTACGATAGCTGGAGATCTTAAAGTTAAGGGACAGGAAAGCATGATGGGTTCTCTGCCTTCAATCATACAATTATACAATCCTGCACCGGGCCAGGAAGAAGCACTCCAATGTCGACGTCCTGTCCCGTTTAACTAGCGGAAAGAAAAGGGCGAAAGATAAGGATGGTGAGAAAAATAAGAAAAAAAAAAAAAATGACATAAAAGGTGAATGAACGAAAGGGAAAAGACAATGAATATGAATGAGCCGAATACCGACTGTACCACAATTGTTGCAGATCTAGCAGCAACTGAACCGATACACCCAGAGATTTTACTCCACCCATACAAAGGAAATCAAGATATCACGACAGGTATTGCAACCATATATCAACAAATGAGAAGGGCATAACAAGAGAAAGACCAGATCAAAACTCTCGCGTATGCTTTCTACATCAGAGAAATTATTGCGAATGCAATGGAATCACCGCAAGGAATACTGTCGCAACACTATTGAACTGGGTGCACGTTGTTACACTTTATTTTTGCCCAAGATCTTCACTACCTCTTGACCAATTTTCACTAGCATTGACTCTTGAAATGTTAGTTATTCTAGAATAGTCTTGTATTACAGATCTGTTACTGCACCTTC